CACCATAAGTAGATGGGGCCATCCACTCATCTCCACTATCCACCAACCAATCGCAATTAACAAGAGATATTAGTAGATACATATAGATGTTTGACAAAAAGAATTGCTAAAAATTCAGTGAGTTGAATCGACCATAAGATCCAATACCTGTTATACATTTATTTAGCCTTTAATGCCTTGCTGACACAGGCTTTGCTTGTTAGCTACTCCCACACATTCAGCGTTCTGCAGCACATTAAGTTACTGTAATGATGTCTAAAGGGATAAAAGGGGAGTAAATGGGGTGGTGAGTCAAAGTAAAACACAATAACAGCAACGACAACAAGAGTCCCAGACAAATCAGCAGCTTCAGAAAACAACTCACTACTAAAAAAAAAACAAAATCAGTGCAGGAAATCCAAGCACAACACAATGCAAGCCAGGGTGAAACACACATCTATCCTGATAAATATTTATGCATTATTCAGATAAAAGAAAGACATTGCTTCTTGCGCTCCATGTGGACTCGTGCAGTGAGGTTTTAACCGACCACAGGCGTTAGACCAAACTATAGAATGACCTCCGATAGTGGCTGACTGCAGATGAAAATGACTGAATAACTGGGACATCAGCCTAATAAAATAAGCTGTCTATTGGCTAATTGCCTTTCTGGCAGTACAACGTGCATCTTAAATTTCTTCCACCAAACGAGTGGCTAGATTACTGCACATGCAATTAGTGTCAGTGTGTCCAACTCTCAGCAGTATACAGCAGAGGTTAACTGGATCTGTAAACATCTGTCTCGCACAGTCAACAACCTGCCATTCAGCACATTTGTCCAGCTTGCCAAGGCCAATGGTTGCGTGCTTTACGGTCACAATGCTACTCTATAAACAGTTCTAGGATGACAGGAAACCATTTCAGTATTAGTGTAGTAAACAATCTAATGTGATTAAGTCACAGAATCCCTGTAAACACAGACGCACAGTTGCCAACTTTGAAAGTGCTGTGGGTTTTGAGGTGTGGGGGAAGGGGAGGATGTAGTGATGAACCAAGCTACAGAGAATTATCTCCTGGATCTGCAGCTCCTCTCAGCTTTACAGAGCTTTATAGAGAATTTCAGCTCAATGTTCACCGTCGCTGCTCTCACAGCATCATTTTTAGCTGCTTGGTAGTTAAAAAAAAGCTCTAAAAACCCACCGTACACTTCCTGCCCAGCACACAACAGCACCGTTAGCAACTAGCTGGTGAAAATACTGAAACATGAAACAGCTAAAAGGCAGAGACTTCCCTCAGGAGTTGGTACAGACACAAAACAAGAGCTACAAGAGATTAAAATATTGGAATTACATTTGCCAGGTGGCCAGAAACATGACTCACATGAATGCCAATGTTGCTCCATAACTACTGGATGCATAAACAAGCCACTGTTAAAAAGGTGACGAAGTGTTAAAGTTCATAACATCGTTCCTACCCTGCAAAAAGAAGGGCTGGGTGACATCGTTATATTATACGACAGTTTCTTTGAGGACTGGACGCAAACATGGGTCACAGTTTCGTTGCCTTGCAGTAAAAATAGCTTCAGTGTGCAACGTTTGCTGGTTTTGGTTCACATTCTGGGATCATCCCATGTTTCCACCCTTCAGGGCACAAGATGAAAAGCTGTAGACTTCAGTACTTCAGAACAATAGTATCTCCTGTGTCCTGTCACACTCAGCACCATAACACCCTGGTAGTGCTGCTTATGGGTGTTGTTTACAGACTGAGACACAGTCAACAACAAGGCTGAGTGTTGGGGGGGAAAACACCCTGCGATGAGAGAAGATGCACCTCTTTTGACTTCACGTACAGTAGTTCACAAAGTTAGGAGGGTTTTGGCGCTGTGCCAGGGGCTGGACGGTGATAAGTTAAGTCAAGCTTTGCACAAAACGTGTCTTCACAGCAAGAAACACCCCCATCAACATACCTTCAACCGCTTCACCACCTCATCGTTGCTGATTTTGTCCGTAATTTCCTTCACTCCGGGAGGATAGATGATCTTTCCGTCCCCCGCCGGTTTCTGCTGTTGCGGGAACTCCATGCTTGTTGATGTGCGGTCCACACGGTCTTCTACTGGCCTCTATGGGTCAGAAAACAAAAGTTCAACACAACCATGCTACCACACTTACCAAAACCTCCTTTTAAGCATCATTCTCATTCGCCAAAGGTCAATTTCGCCCGCTAACATTAACAACGCCGTGCCCGTGGATTCCACTCTATTGTAATCCGGAAAACTTTCCGGACAGAAAGCGAACATTAAACCAGCATTGTGCATATTATTAGCTTACATGCTAAAACAACCCCCAGCTAAAACATCAGCTCCATATTTTCCGCAAATGTCTCATCAAACATCGCATAGCTACAGAAACAAGAGCACTTGCTATGTCGCTACCACCGCGGCTACTTGAACCGCTAAATTGTTGGAAAACCACTTTTAAAAACACCCCGAGAGCGGTCGGTACACGTCTACTGTCACACAGGTTATCAAATTAGCCAGCCAGCTAGTCAGCACATCATTGGTTAGCGGTTAGCATTGTGCGGGAAGGAAGTTAGCAGCGAGGCTAATTCGCGTTAGCACGGCTGCTAACGGGTTAGCCTAGGCCGCAAACTGTTCAGGTACCCATCACATCTCCAGCTACAGACAATCACAGAGGAAGTGAAGTGTCCTATCGTCTGTGCCTCAAATAGCCCTGCTCGTGGTCAGTTCCTGTGGTTTACAACTAATGCAACTACTTTGTGAAGTTTAACAACGACGCTAATTTACTTGTTACTGTCTTTTTTCAACTTCAACGCATCGCTCCGGACTGCCGCTAGTTCACAGGCGAAGAAGGGCTGCTACCGTCGCCCTGAGCCCTCCTCTCTCTCTCCCTCTCTCTCCCCCTCTCTCTCTCCAACAACTTGCCCCCACGGAGGATTTTAAACACCCTAACAAATGCAAAATGAATCTATTTTCTGATACACAACTGCGACTAAAAACCGCAGGATATACTATTTTACTATATTTACCTCTCAAGTGGGCCGTTTTAATTCATTAGTCTGACACAGGTTAGGTTTAGTTTTCGGCACAAAGCTCTCTGTCCGTTCAGTCAGTGCTGTCTGTGTGAAGGCTGGGTGCAGAGCGCCCCCCCTCGGTCTCGCAGGAGTACTGCACATCCAAATACATGGCGGGAGTCAGAAACAGCCCGCTCTCACACTCACAGTCACTCTCTGCTCTTCACCCACATTGTGGGGTTATCTTTTAAAATATAGCCCGTATTTGACTACTTTTTTTGTTTGTCATTATGTTTCTTTATGAATTAATTTATGCTTTATGATATTTATCTGTTTTTATGTTTTTGTGGGCACATGTATGGAGAAAAACTAGAGCAAATATATTAATCGTTACCATTATCATAATTGTTGTAGTTTTATGCTAGTGAAATATTTTCAAGGCTTTTAAAATTGATAGTCTGTCAACACTTATTTATGCTACCAATATGTTTGTTGTTTATGTATCTTATTGTTATTACCAATACTTTTACAACTACAACTAAAAGTACCTGTAGCAGCCAGTAACAGATTAAGGTTAACTTTCTCTATAAAATAATGACTTGAGGGAGTAGAGTAGTGACATCTAGTGGTTAACTGGTAATTAACAAGTCAAAAAGTGACTAGAAAGAGATTCAATCAACTTTACACATTTCAATAGTGCTGCTTTTGTTTTAATGTGCTGATTTTCTGCGACTATTATATAGTTTTAGTACCATCTGCATGATATAATGTTTAGTTATATACATTAATGAAAACAGGGTTTACTGGATCTATAAAAATTCAGGTACTCAATCAGGAAACAAAAGAAAATAAATTGGGGTCAGAGTGTCACAGTCTTGGTCATATCTGACAATCCCCTGTTTGTAATTTAAAAAAAGTGCAGTATTTAATTGACCCATGCATCACAACATTGTTCCTGCAACCAATGTAAAAGTAGTTAGAATAAAAATCATCCAGATTGAATTTTATGACAAAAACCTTATTGTAAAGTGTACCAAGACTTATAAACAAGTACATTTACTCCAGCACTGTACTGTGACTACAAGTCTGAGGTACTTTTACACACTTGAGAAGAATAATTCCTTAAAATGTTACTGTTTACCCCACTACATTTATCTGATAACTTTATCATTTAGTTATTCATTTACAGATAAGGATTGCGCATACAATGTGATCAACTCATAAAAGATTAAGCATTGTTATAGATCAAAGGATCCATCAAGTAGTTAAAATGTTGCTTACATGTTTATATATCAAATAATAATCCAGTATAATAATATGAACATTTTGCAATGACAGGGAGTGGAATATGAGTACTTTTATTTGTGATACATTACATGTTCTCCTGTCCACACAAATACAGTTCTAAAACAGATTAATAATAATAATAATAATAATAATAATAATAATAATAATACATAAATAGATAGACAAATAAATCAATCAATTAAAGCAAGACTAAAAATGTAAGCCTTGAGTTTGCTTTTAAAAGCAATTACACTCTTTGCTACCCTCTAAAAGGATGCCTCACAATCTTTAGGGATAATTAAATTCAGAATATGTTGTTACTATTACATTACCACTTTTTACTAAAACCAGAGGTAAATACTCAAGCCCCAACAGGAACCATGTGCTAAGACAACTATTATTCATTACACTTATATCGGTCACATACTGATTACATCAGTACATACATACTATTTTATTTTATATATATATATATATATACACCTATATATACATTTTCTAGTCTATATATATTGTGTTAGATATTGTATTAGAATTTTTATTCTTAAAAGTCGTGTGAGCACCTTGAGCAACTGTAAACAAACAAACTCCCTCCTGGGATCAATAAAGTATTTCTGATTCTGACAACCTTTTATTTTGAAGTCTCTGCGTTGATTTCCGGTATTACCCGTTCTGGCGGACTTGGCCCGGTTTGTGTTTTCTTTTCGTTACTTCCACCACTCGGGGCGCTGTTTGCTATCGTAACCTTCAGTCGCTGCACTTGGGTTACTCTACAGACACTACAGTAGCATGTCTTCAGATCCGGACCAAACCTCTGGTAGCCCTTTAGCTACTTAACTTAGCTCCGTGTGGCCGCTAATGAGAGCAGCCGGCGGGCCTCGGAATGCCTCGCAGAAAGAAACCCGGCCAGAGCCCGGCCCGAGTCCCCGGCGGGCCGCCAGAGGGGGGGAGCAGACTACCTCAGGGATTTGACGGTGCAATGGCGAACAACTTTCCATCCAGCACCTCGCTCTCTGCCTCCGGCAAGGAGAATATCGTCAAAAGCATGCAGGAGATGTTCTCACACCTGGACCCCGACGTTATTTACATCGTGCTGTCCGAGTGTGATTTTAAAGGTTAGCAGCATTATAAAAACACGGAAGCCCAGCTGATGGTCCAACCTGCTGTGTGACTTTTGGGGAATGTGGTTTTAGTGTAACTTTGCTAACCTGCTAGCTGGGGTAGGTCTGTAAGCAGACAGTGTGGAACTATTTAACCACATGAGATTACTTTACAGTGGAGGTTTCCTCTGTGTGTGTGTGTGTGTTACAGTATCTATTTAAAACGGAACCTTGCCATTTTTTAGTTCACCAAACCCACGCACCTTCTTCCACCTGTTGTACCAGCACATGGATGACAGATGCTGTATGTGTGTAACTTTTAGGTGTACTTGAATAGTGTCACCATGTGATTTATGAAGTCAGTAAAGTAGAATAAAATCAGAAATGGGGAAACAAGACCAAACTAAAGCCACCACTCATGAGTCAATGGTATTTCCTATACACTTGTTTCAAACTGTCTATGTTGCTTAAAAAGGTAAAAGGCTGTTCCAGAGCCTGGGGGGCGCAAATCACTAATCCCAGGTCAGATTCCTGCCTGAACAGGTATAGCAGTAGAAATGACAGAAAAATACACCTTTTGGTTTAAGGTTCCTGCACTGCACTTATCTCCACTGTCAATATTTACCGTATATAGAGCAGAGGTGAGAGTGGAAGGTTCAACAGGACGATTCCCATTACATACAATTAAAATATGTTAAAATGTTCAGTTCAATTTAAAAGGCTCAAAAGTATTGTGAGTAGACATCGAGGTTCTGTAACAGCAGAGGGCGCTTATGTCTTTAACTCCTACACTGTGTTATTCACTGTAATGGTATGTATGAAATGGTATTCATTGTTGTGTTAGTGTGGTTTCTGGGAAGGCTTGGTTTGTTTATTTTAATTGTATTACTTTAATGCACTTTAAGTTTGTACCACTTTAATTGGCTTTTTTTTTGTTTTATCTGAGGGCAACAACGCAAACTGAGTTAAAATAGCAAAGTATTGAAACATTGAATCACGAGTTGTAAAAGTTAAATATAGTAAACTTTCTTTTCTTTTTCTTGTTATATGTGTTTCCTCTGTTTGTATCCTAGTTGAAAATGCAATGGACTCTCTCTTGGAGCTGTCTGTGGCTGCGGAAGTTGCAGGCCCTATGCCTCCTCCTGTCTCTGGCTTTGAGCGCACTGCTGCAGCCCTGCTCAGCCCACAGCACTTTTCTGAACCTAGACCAGAACCAGACTCCTCCAGACCACCACAGCTGTCCTCCTCTCCTCCCTCTGCCAACCTCCTGACAGAAGAGCTGGACCTGCTTGTCGATCAGGAGCTTCAGACACTAACCACACAGCGAGACGTTAAGGAAAAGTACCAAAGCAGCCAGTATTTATCCTCTTTCCCTCCACCACCAAAGCAGATCCTCCCTGAGCTGCTTCAGTCTAGCCTGCAGCCTGGATCCAGAGGGCCCTCTACTGGCCTGGTGGAGAATATTTCTGAAGCTTCGTCTCCGCTTGACCAGCTCAGCACTTGGGAAGACGAGATTGCTGTGGAGCAGGAGCGGTCGACGGTGGATTTCACACATCTAATGGCAGAGACACCTGCGGACAAGCCGAAACCTTCTTTGGACCTGGCAGCTTCAGGACGTCCCTCGGCTTTCCAGGTGTATAAAAAGCAAGACCCACCGCACACTCTTGCAGACAAGGCTGGGGTCATGCCCTCCAAAGCGATAGTCGGAGGAGCGAGATCTAAAATGAACATGTCGAATCAGGAGCCACTTGGCTACATGGCGTCACCCTGGAACTTGGCGGCACCTGTGTTTTCTCCCCGCGCCCATGGAAACCAGGGGCCAACATTCATTACCCCTGTGGCTCAAACGCCTTCCAACTGGCTCAGCCAACCCAGACAGGCCTCTCCCTGGCTGAGTCAAGGGCCTGTCAGACAGGCACCTCTTAAACCTTCTGCTACTATTCCTAAGTCCTGGGCACTGCCTGGTCCTCAACAACATCCTACTCATTACGGCAGGCTTCGTCTAGAAGGGAAGGTCCTTGTGCTGCTACGTGGAGCTCCGGGATCTGGCAAGTCAACCTTGGCAAGGTAATAATGGTGTGATGCTCTAAATGGCAATACTCTGTGCTCTCTAGTACGCTGTTATGGAGTGTGGTTTTTGTAGTTGCATCACAGCTACAGTACGCAGACAGACTTGGTTGCATGTAGAGCTGCAATGATTAATCAATTAGTTGTCAACTATTAAATTATTCCCCTATTTTGATAATTGGTTTGAGTAATTTTCAAAATGAAAAATTCTCTGATTTCAGCTTCTGAAATGTGAATATTT